TTGAGAACCAGAGGTGATAAAGATCAAGACATCATATTAAAGCTGGCAGCATGGGAAGTCGCCATAACACACAGCTCCTTCTTACCAGCTTCATGTGGCCTCCTCTGTTAGCAGTTTATGTAATTAGAGTACATTTGTCAAAACCTCGGAACTATTTGGTAGTTTCTGATACTATTTGGTAAACAACAGGCATCCTTTAAATTTTACCAGTTTTTTTCCCCACTAACATTCATTCTCTGTTCTAGAATTCAACCCAGGATCCCATATTGCATTTAGTTGGACTTTATTAACTCCGATGCATGACAGTCCTTAGTCTTTACCGTCTTCATGCCCTTCACACTTCTGAAGAGCACTCTTTAGTTGTTCTGCAGGGTGTCACTGGATTTGGACTTGTCTGATGTTTTCTCATCACAAGGTCCTGAGTTTCGACGTGAACACCATGAAAGCGACACTGAGGCAGCACATCAAAAGACTGACAATGCCACAGGTCCTACCATGGGGAGCTCACTTGGATCACTGAGCTACAGTGGTGTCTGCAAGGTTTTCCCAGTGGAAATTAGCTTTTAAGGAAATTTGCAATCATTTATGTCTTGTGGGCCAATATTTTGACCCTGTGCTAATATCCTAGCCCCAGTAAATTTTCACGCAGTGGCTTCAGCATTCTTTTAAGAGTCTTACCTAAATCTATTATTGTTGCAATATTGTTGCAAGATGGTGACTCTAACTTGTTCAGTCCTTCTGCATTTATTAGGTGCCTTTCTCTTGTAAAAGTTTGTCTCCTCCTGCTTCTTATTTATGTATTTACTTAGTGCTGATTTGGCTCATTGATGTCTACCATGTTGACTAGAAGTTTCCATTCTTGATTCTCTAGTAGGGAAACGGAGGCCAAGACAAGAAGGCAAGGTCACAGAGGAGTCTTTACCTGTGGCAAGGCCAGAATCAGGCCTCCTGATTGGGAGCTCCTCACTGCTCCTTGCCTTTGTATCCCACGGCTCCATGCAAACATGAGGCTGGGGGAAAAGAGGGACATGGTGTTTGGCTGGAGCCCCAGCCTGCTGGCCCCACAGCTGGGGCTCTGTGGTGCCTGTGGGTCTGCAGAGCACTCGGGTTCCCACTGGCTACTGAGGCAGTTCTTCACAACTGCTGTGCCATGGTGACAGCCGTGGGGAGGTTTGGAAGAGGGCCAGGCCCCATATTTTCATTAATAACTTGGAAGGCAGCGAGACACGGGGACTTCCTGACCTCAGTGTCACTCCTTCACTATGTGTGACACCCTCTGTGCAGTGTGCGCTATTTACTTCGGATTATTCCGAGGTTGACTCACTGGTTTTACTTAGATGGAGGAGCCGGTTGTGTCTGTGTCTGTAAGTGGTATTTGTCTTGCTATTTATGTTTTTTCTCCCCATCAACATTAAAGCAGGAAACTGCTATCAGACTTTGTAAAAGGCACTTTGAATTTTGTGGGAGGTACCAGGCACCAGGCTGAGAGATGTCACCACACAGTGCCCTCTGCAAGAGACAGAGAATTCTCCATGGAGCTCAGTACCTCAAGCCCCGCACACATGGGGGTGATGTTCAGGAGAGATCCTCCGGAACTGCAAGGAACTGAGAAACAGTTTGAATCTTTAGTTTCTGGAAAGCTCTGGGGAGCTCCATTCACAGCACACTGCCAACTTCTAGGTCACCGTTCCAACCACCTGTGCTCTGGAACCAAACCTCAGAACTTAGCCTTAGGGTAGCCCGGTGTTAGGCACACAGACCCTCAGGGCAGAATTCTGACTGGTATGGCAGGAAGGAGTCATCTGGTGAGTCCTGCTTACATCTGCTGGGCCATCAAACAAAAAAGGTTCTAATGGCTTCTCCTGTGTTCTCACAGCCTGCAGCTCCTTGGTTGGGGAATACGGATGTGTGGACCTCGTTCAGAAGTATGGTCTACCACAGCATTGTCCTCCACTTAGGTGAGAGGGGACCAGAGTCACTGTCACTCTAGGTGGCCACTCCTCAGTGTTCTGTTTCCACCTCAAGCCTCACCAAGGTATTTTTCCAACTCTCAGCTGATTGTACAGTAAAGAAAAAACAAAGCAGAAGGGGACAACCCTAACACTCCTTAATAGGAAAATGGGTGAATGCACTGTGCTATGCTCACTCAGGACGTGAGAACATGGCAATACAAATGGACAAATTAAGGGCTGAGTGTAGAGTACGTGCTTGGCACAAGTGAGGCCCTGGGTTTGATCCCCAGCACTGCAAAAAGAAAAAAAGGAGAAAAAGGAGCTGGACTGGACTCCTACGCATCGAAAGGATAAATATCTAAAATAAGAGGTTGGTGGGGAAAAGCAAGTCATGAAAGGAAACAGGAGTAGTTCTAACTGCGGAGCTTGGACTCTAGAGCCTGAAGGCCTAAGTTCAGATCCTGCTCCACAACTCTGGATGAACTTGGGTGAACTCCTTAACCTCTCTGTGCCTAAGTTTCCTGTTCTGTAAATGGGGCATAATAACAGAAGCTAACACTAAAACACTTAGAATAGTGCCTGGTACCTACCGTAGTTAAGCAATAAGTATTGACAGTTACAAAGTATGAAAATGTGCCAAACAATGCCACATGCTGTGTTGAACACACGCACGAACTGGTACAACCAACATCTGGCTACTGGCTTCCTTTGAGGCATGACAGAATGCCACAGACTCAGGCAGGGGTGGACTCAAGGGGCTTCAGTTATAGCTGCAATTTTTTTGTTTCCTTGAGAAAGTAGAAGTAACCATGATGGTGTTTTATTTTCTGCCCCATCTTTTTGGAGCTCCCCAGCTCCTGTAATGCTGTTCTGATACCCAGATTTAGTAGAAGACCTGGCTCTCTGTCATGCTGGTGAAGGTCTGGGGTCCGAATTTGGACTCTGAAAGAGCCGGGTGTGGCCCCACAGCCTCAGTGAGAAGGCCACTGCAACCCTCAGAGCTGTGGGGATGATCACTGTCACCTCTCAGGGGTGCTCTGAGGATTTGGTGATGGGAGACTTCGTGAGCTCCACTGCTTGGCACTGCAAGGTGCAGGGTTGATGGCAGCATGGATGCCCTTGGGCCCAGGCAGGTAACAGAGAGGCGTGTCACATGCTACAGAGCATGGCGGCGGGGTGCTCTGGAGGGGGCATGTCCTGTCTGCTGGTAGGTGCCAGAGGTACTCCAGGATCAATGTGGCCAGATCTGCTTCAGGTCAGAGGAGGCTGTGACATGCAGCGGCAGCTCCCAGAGGCTCCTGCAGCATACACCAGGGCCTCCTTGGCCCCAGCCCCCAGCAGTGCTGAGGCCCTCACGTCATGACTTTTCTCCCCAAGTGAAGGAGAGTGGGATTTCTACTGGTGCGATGTCAGCTGGCTCCGGGAGAACTTCGACCACACCTACATGGACGATCACGTGCGGATCAGTCACTTCCGGAACCACTACGAGGTGAGCTGGGCCTGTGGACTCACGCGGCTGGCTGTGGTGACGAGCAAGAATAGGTGTGGGGGGCTCCAGGCCCAGGATGGGAAAGTGTAAGGGAAAGTTGGGGTGCATGCTAGGTGGGGCATCTGTGGCCTGGATACCTGAGGAGCTAGATGGTTTGAGGGTGTAAGTAGCTAAGGCCTGAGGCCTAAGACTATCTGGGTGGGGATTTGAGGTCACAGGCTCGGAAGAGTAGTCTAGTTTGAGACTGCAAGCTTCAAAAGAAGAGGATGTTTTGGGGATTAAGCAGAGAAGTTTGGGGTTTAGACAGAAGGGTGATCTTGAAGGAGCCAGACCACAAAGATGGCCCTGGAGGAGACATTGGTGGGAGATTTTTTTTTTTAAGGTTAGAATAGCTTAGTGGTTAAAAATAGGAATTTAGGATCCAGACATGACTGGGTCAAAGCCTGGATGTGCTGCCTGTTAGTCAGATAGCCCTGGGCAATTACTTAACCTTGCCAGTCCTCAGTTTCCTGGCTTGTGAAGTGGGAATAATCACGAAGTGCCGGCACTCCATCAGCGCCGCTGTTACTGCCACGGCATTCCATGGACCGCAAAATGGGTTGGGGTTTGGACGGGTGAGAGGGGTTTTTGGGACAGGAAGCAGAAGGCCCACTGCCCGCCTTGCCGCCCAGCTGACCCACAAGAACTACATGGTGAAGAACTTGAAGCGGTTCCGGAGACAGCTGGAGCGCGAGGCAGGGAAGCTGGAAGCAGCCAAGTGTGACTTCTTCCCTAAAACCTTTGAGATGCCCTGCGAGTACCACCTATTCGTGGAGGAGTTCCGCAAGCACCCAGGGATCACGTGGATCATGAAGCCTGTGAGTGACCATGCAGGGCCTGGGCAGTGGGACAGTGGGGCTCAAGTGGAGTCTGGGGCCCCAGTGCAGACTGACTGTGCCTGGGCAGTCAGCCTCAGAGCACCTTCAGCCTCTCTCTGCAGCCTCTGGACCCAGCAGCTGACAGCTGCACCGGGCAGTCTCTCAGTATGTGTTGACTGAAGGCACAATCCATCTTCAGGACACCAGGGCAGAGACTCCAGAGCTGCTCCTCCTGATGTGGAAGAAAACAGTGACCAGGCCATGCCAAGTGCTGTGTTGCATGACTGTCCTTGGGTGGGTGTCATAACCCCGTTTCAAAGATGGAGCACCCGAGAGGCCTCTGAACTCAAGTGTCCCACAGGTGCTGGGTCTGAGGGACTGGGATTACAGCTCTCAGCAGGTCACACATGGTCTCTGCCCTCCTTGAGTGGAGACTGTGATCCAGCCAAAGATAAGTGTATGGTCACAGCTGTGCCGAGTGTCATGAAGAACGGTGTCAGGAGAGGGGACAGCAGGGAGAATCTCCCTAACTAGGTAGGCTCTCAGAAGAAGTAAGAGACTGGGCTCATACTACCTGCCCCACTCACTAGCTGTGTGACTCCAGGCAGGTTACTTGATTTCTCTGGGTCGAAGCTCCCCAAAGTGAGAATAACTATAGCACCTACTGTGTAGTACCTGTACTGTATGGTAGTGTTGTGTTCCTGAACAAACAAGTTAGCACAGGTAATGCTCATGTGGACTCATTAAATAATGGTCATGAGCATAAGAATTAGTAGTGAGCTTTGACCTGAAGGATGCCTAGGAGGCAGCCTGGGCAAGGCTAGAGGTGAGGAACAGCATTCCAGACAGAGGGAACTGCACACACCGAGGCCTTGCCCTGGAGGCAGCCCCTCAAAGTGAGTGCAGTGAGTTAGCAGACCATCTGTGAGTTGCTCAGCCCTTCCTTGTGTTGGGGCTCCCCTTACCACAAAGCCTGGGCCACCACAGCCTCAAAGGGCATCACCAAAGCCCCCTGTGGTTCCTGGGCCCGAGAAGGTGTCAGGCCCAGGAAGGGACTGGGGTGGGCCAGGAGCAGCCCTTCCCTGTAGAGCCGAATATGGAACCCTATGCTGGCTGATGCCAATTTAGCAAATAGCCCAGTGCTTAGAGGGGACAGAAGAAAACAGCACAAGAGAGGCTCCCACAGGGCTGAAGCAAGATGTCCCAGACCTCCTGATCCTTCCCTGGGTCTCTCCTTCCCGGTGTCCTGGGCACGTGCAGTGAGGGCTCTAGCCTGGGCAGCAGGGATTAGGATGAGTGCTGTGACCCAAGGGGCAGATACAGCTCCCACCATTTATCCTCTCAGACAAATGATAATCTGGACTAATTGCGAATGAGCAATTGCATATTAAGCTGATTCCTTTCCCAGCCCAGGGCCTTTGTTAGCTGTAGACGAGACGACAGCTGTAATTAAGAGGCAGAATCTTGGCTGTGTGTGTGTGTGCACGTGCGCGCGCGTGGGCATGCTCGCGCGCCTGTTTCCTCTCCCCCAAATAGCTGAGGCACCCGGTCTTGTGTGCAGGATATGAAGAGCAAGTGTTTTTTAGTCTGCATGGACCAGGTTCTAATTCTGAATCCACCACTTCCAAGCTGTGTGATCCTGAGCAGGTTACTCAGCCCCTCTAAGTCTCCTCCTGTGTGTAACCTGGGATTGAATAGGACCAGCTGAGGGGTGGTGAGTGACGGCAGTGAAGCAAGGCCTGCTACATACACAGGGCACATGAGTTATATCAAGCGCTTGGCATGAGGCGCCCAATAACTGATTGTTTTTCCATGTTATTTCCAAGAGCCCAGCAAATACCCCTTCTTCCATCTGCCCTTGGGAAGCACCAAGTCAGTGTTTCTCAAATTTAAATGTGGCCACCCATCATCTGGGGATCTGATTAAAAGGCAGAGCCTGACACTACAGATCTGGATGGGCTTGAGTGGCTGCAGTTCTAACCCCTACCCCAGATGCCATTGCTGCTGGTCCCCAGATGGACGACACTTGGAGTGGAGAGGTTGGAAAGCAGCAGTTCCCAAGCCTGGGCTGGGCCAGCTCTCCTGGCCTGTGAATGTGGTCTCCTGACAAGTTCCCAGGGCTCTCCAGGGAAACCCAAGCCCAGGGTGTGGGTGTTTAAGGACTTGGCTCATGTGATATCATGGGGACCAGCAGGGCAGGCCAGCTGGCTGGGAACTCAGGCAGGGTTTCTATGTCACAACCTCAGGGCGGTATTTCTCCTCCCCTTCTCCCCTTCTCCTCCTCTTCTTCCTCCTCTCCCTCCTCCTCTTTTCTTCCTCCTCCACTTCTTGTTCTTCCTTTCATCCTGCTCTCTTCTTTCCTTCTCCTTCTCCCTTTTCTTCTTTACAGTATTGGGGATTGAACCTAGGGCCTTTGCACAGAGCTACATCCTCAGCCCTTTTTTATTTTGAGACAGTCTTGATAAATCATAGCTTGCACTCAAATTTACAGTCCTCCTGCCTCAGCTTCCCAGAATACTGAGATTACAGGGGTGTGCTGTGAAGTCTGACTGAATTGCTCCTTTCCCAGGAACCTCACGTTTTGCTCTTAAGTCCTCAACTGGCTGAATGAGACCCACTCACGTTACTGAGGGGAACATCCTCTACCAAAAGTCACTCACTGTGAGTGTCAGTCACATCTACAGAACATTTTCGGAGCGACATCTGGACCAGTGTTTAACTAGACAACTGGTACCAGCACTGAGCTGGTTTGGTTTATGAAATAAACCATCACACAGTGACTGGTTTTAGGGTGAAAGCCCTGACTGTGGGATCCCAACAGACCAGGCTTGGCCACTCATCCCAAAATGTAAATCCAGGAAACCAGCAGAGATAAAGGGCAGGAAAGGAGTCAGCATCATCATGATGGGAGGACAGATGGACAGGTTCAATCTGTGACTTTGAGCTGGCACTGATGGCCCACATCCGTAACCCCAGCACTCTGGAAGGCTGAGGCAAGAAAATCATAAGTTCTACCCAAGCCTTAACCATTTAGTGATGCAGCAAGACCCTGTCTTTAAAAAATTAAAATATGGCTGGAAATGTAGCTCAGGGAAGGCCCTGGGTTCAATCTCCAGTACTCCACAAACCCAAATCTGTCTATAAAGGGTTGACAGAAATTTTGGGGCTTTCTAGGAAAGGGGAACAAAGTCAAGGGTTGGCGTTAGCATAGCTGGCACTATAGGTAATCCTGGTCAAGTTTTCTAGTTGAGCCGTATCTCAGGACTGATTCCTCAAGGTTCTTGAAGAACATCATCTCTTGAGGGAGCCTTTCAGTTCCTCTCATGAAATGATAGCCTTGTTCCTCTCCTGGAGTAACTGTTTCTGAATCAGGAGGTGGTCTGCAAGGCTCTGCTTTCCCTGGAATCCTGTGTTCAATCTCCAGTACCGGAATCAGAGGTGGCTACCGATTTACAATGACTAAAGACTCATAGGCATCCAAGGGGGTCTGGACTTGGATGCTGTAAAAGCTAACAGTTGGATGTCCCTGCAAATCCTGAAAATTACTTTCATTACTTGTATCCTGGTGTCCTCAGTTTTGAAGGGAGATGAGACAGGCTGGGTAAATTTAGGGCTAATAAAGGCTGTGATTTAAACACTCGTTAAATAATTACCAGGCCTATGTACAGAGCCGAGCAGGGACTGTTACCCTTTGGGCATCTGCAAGCCCAGCTTCTGGGCGCTACTGGTCACTACTACACTGAGAGCCAAGGGACTGGGATGTTGGTCTTGGATGTTTTAAGTTCTTTGGGTGGATGGGTATGTCAAAAAAGTAGAACATTACTCTAAATTTGAGAGATAGAGGGGGGAAAGTCCTCCAAGTTCCTCCATCCTTCCCACAAGGTTTGTCTCTGTGACTTGGTCTGTCCTGTCACATGCAGGCAGACATGTTCCTGTCATTTCTACGGCCTGGCCAGTCTCAAGACAGCCTTTCCTCTCTGGCTCCCTTCTGCCGTTTTTCTCTGCAGTGATGACAAAGCAGCTAAGGAGGAGTTGGAGTCAGGTTGGAGTCAGAAGGGAGCAGGCAATGTTATCTCAGTGCTACTCAGCGGGGACCCTTTTCCTATGTGGCCTGAGGCCCAGGCCATCTTCCGGCTTTGCAGTAATTCGTGGGGAAATGTAAGAGCAGGTCACCCACAATGAACCCACTGAAAGAGAGAACAGGAAAATAATCTTATTCACAGTAACTTAAAAAAAAAATTTAAATACCTGGGAATGAACCTATATCATGAACTGAAAGACTATAGATGAAAACTATAGTACACTCGAAAAAAGTTTGAAGAGAACATCAGAAAATGGAAAGACATCCCCGGCTCTTGGATAGGCAGAACCAATATTATCAAATGGCCACATTATACAAAATGATATGTAGATTTAATGTAATATCAATCAAAATACCCACAGTAGTCTTCAGAGAACTAGGGAAAACAAGTCTAAAATTTATGTGGAACCAAAAGAGAGCCAGAAGAGCAAAAACAACAAAAGTGCAACAAAAGTGAAGCAGGAAGCATCACAATCTTGGACTTTTAAGTTATACTACAAAGTTACAGTGATAAAAACAGCACAGTACCAGCAAAAACAAACAAAAAAAGCAAAACAAAAATGACAACAAACCAGACATGTGGATCAGTGAAACAGAGTAGAAGAGGCAGAAACACCACCCCCAGGCACTTTCAGCCATTTGATCTTTAACAAAGGGGCCAAAAACATGCTGGAGAACAGGCAGCCTCTTTGCTAAGTGGTGCTGGGAAAACTGGTCATCCACATGCAGAAGAATGAATCTAGACCCAGATGTCTTATCCTCTTACTCTAAAATCAAATAAGAATGGATCGAAGACTTACATATAAAAATAGGAAGACTGAGTTTGCTGGAAGATAAAATAGGTCAAATTCTCGACACAGGCATAGGCAAGGAATTTCTGAACAAAATTCAAATTGCAGAAGAAATAACACCAACAACC